AAACTTTAGGTGTTGCTCATGCTTCAAAATCCATGTACAAGGAGATGAAGATGACACAGGCTAGAAATGAAGCACAACGATGTAAATGTAAACAAAACAAAAATGAAAAAATCAAGGAAAGGCAAATTAGATAAACTGGCCTGTAAATTTCTACGATCCGGCGCCAAAAGCCATAGAAATACTTAGAACAAACGAGTGGGACGCTTGGGCTGTTTTTATTCTCATGGAATGCGCGGCCTCTGATGGATACTGCAGATGCAGCCGAGTTGCTCTTGAGTTCTGGCCCTCGTCATCATCTTCTGTTCTTATTTTGTAGCACCTCCAATGTTATCCGCATCAGGAAAATTGCGTTTTACTTGTATTTGAGAGCGCAATTAAAGGACTTGGCAAAGTGCCAAGGAGCCGCACGCGACACGCGCGCTTACGACGGATGTTATGAAGGACGGGAATCTGCGCCGCAAAAAGGTGTAAGGCGGAGCATGGAGGAATTAGCGTGTTTCACGGTCCTGTATCTCCATTCCTGGGCATGTTTGGGCGGGGGGACCACGACACATCGACAGCTGGGGGGCTGATAGTCTCATACACCCTCAATGTGTGAGCGTACTATGTGTCTTTAAGTGCACTGAAGAGCTGGAAGAGCTCATGAAAATCGCGGTTCATACTGGAAGTAGCGGCTCTCTACAGCTCTGTCTTCGTATTACCTTAGGCATTATCGTGAATTTCACTATATTCTTCTGTGCCAGCGAGGGTTTTGAGGAACTTCAATATAGGCCGCAGAGGCAACGCCCGCGTTCATTTTGTTCCCACGTCTTCTTTGGATATCGTAGCTCACCCTATGAGGATGGTGGACGTACTAGTTTCGCAACTCAAAAATGCGAGAGAATAGCGGTCGCCCGCTCGCGAAGAGTTGGTGGTTGCCTGATGTTGCGGTTGTTCTGCTACTAACTCTCTCCACTTCGAATGGTGAGAGTGAGGTGATAAGGGAAAACAGCTGATACCAACAAGTGAGAACTCGTGCGACCGCGCCTTCTCTTCGCCTTAAAGGCAGCTCCCACGTTCATTTGATGTTCCCGCGCCCTCTCTGGATATCATAGCCCTCCCTATGAGGATGCAGTATGTACTAGTTTTGCATCTCAAAAAGGCGAGAGGATAGCGCCGTTCGCTAGTGAAGAGTCGGCCGCCCCGCCCACCTGGCCAGCATAGGGTTCTATATAGGGCATTTTCCATGATTTTTTTTTCTGCTTTTTTTCTTCTACCCACTG